TTGAATCGAGCGCAACAGCATCTCGCCCTCCTCATCAACCTCAACTTCAGACGACATGACCAAGATGACAAAGTCGGCCATACGGCACACATCCAGAGCGCTCATCAAGTCATACTTGGCAGGAACGTACTGTACGCTTTGACGGAATCGATCGATGCGCACACGGGTAGGCCCATCGGGCGAGACATCAGTCAAGACATCGACGCTCTCATTGATAGAAGCAATAGCAGCGGCGGCGTCAACATCGGCGGACAACGGCACAATTGCGACATGACGTGGAGCACCATTCTGGCCGGCGAAGACGCTGGTAGCTTGGGATCTTTCCTGGTGCTTCAACGCCTGTCTTTGGCGGGCGGTGTTACGGCGATCGAGTTTCGTCTTAAGTTGTTGGTGGGGTGTCCTACGACCGCCCCGCTCATCACCTTCGATTTTGCCTGTAATAGTATAAGCGTTAAATTTGCATTATTTACCATACTTGGACATTTTAAAATCATACCTTTGGCCTGATCCTTCAAGGCGCTTTTGGAGGCATGCTTAGTTTTGTAGGGCTTGTGGGAAACCTTGGTGGTGGAGCGGTGGTGGTGCACCGTCTGGGCAGGCGCCATATTGGCGTTGGAGCCTTTGAATCGGAAAGGGAGGGATTCCAGATTGAAGCGAGTCAGAGGTAACTCGGCAAATATCCAGTCAGAGCTATTTATAACTGGCAAATACACAGAAATAAAAACGAAAGTGCCTCTAGAAAAAAAAGAAAGAGGTAACGATAAGAAATCAAAATTCGCCAGTGGAGGATAAGCGAGCGGTGAGCGCAAATCTTGGCGAAATTCTGGGCAAAACACTTTTTTTCTTGAAGCTACGCTTTTCGTCCGCCCTCTGATCTTCCTCGGTTCTTTCGCAAACGAACTCGAGAAATTGCCAGAAAATGGCCGACTCAGCCTCCAACATGGCTGTCGCCAAGGGCGATCATGAAGCCAAAATGAGACTCGCAGCAGCCGAGCAAACCTACGGACGAGGCAAAGGCGTTAATGCGAAGAGTGCGCGGGACAAGAAGCTGCGCGCAAATCTCAAGAGACAGGAATTCAAGCACAAGGAGGCTATTCTTCAAGCCAAGGATGCAGAGATTTTGCTCGAGCACACGGAAGGATTCCTCGAACCAGAAGGTGAACTTGAGCGGACATACAAAGTTCGCCAAGATGAGATTCGGGACAGCGTCGGAATCGAGACAGCAAAGAAGGGATTCGAATTGAAGCTTCCCGATATGGGCCCCTACCGCATGGACTACTCTCGGAACGGACGTGACCTGCTGTTGGCAGGGCGGAAGGGACATGTTGCGACAATGGATTGGCGCGAGGGCAAATTGGGCTGCGAGTTACAGTTGAACGAGACTGTGCGGGATGCCCGCTGGCTGCATAACAACCAGTTCTTCGCTGTGGCGCAGAAGAAGCACACTTATATCTACGACCACCAGGGAACTGAGATTCACTGTCTGAGCAAGCACCTAGAACCTCTCTTCCTGGAATTCCTGCCATATCATTTCCTTCTTGCAAGCGCTGTGAGTATTCTCGATTCTCTGATTCCATAGATTCCCCGCTAATCAGACCTTTGTATAGCAAATGAGCGGCCACCTCAAATACACAGATACCTCAACCGGCCAGACCGTCGCTGAGCTACCCACGCGGTTGGGTAAACCCACCGCTCTCGCACAGAACCCATGGAATGCCATCCTCCATGTCGGACACCAAAATGGAGCCGTGACCCTTTGGTCACCTAACTCTCAAACCCCTCTCGTAAAGGCACTCGTGCATCAGGGACCTGTCCGGTCACTGGCAATGGATCGCACAGGCCATTACATGGTATCTACAGGTCAGGACCAAAAAATGAATGTGTGGGATATCCGCATGTACCGCGAGGTGCATTCATACTCATGCTACCAACCCGGCGCATCTGTGGCTATCAGTGACCGCGGCCTGACCGCAGTGGGCTGGGGCACCCAAATGAGCGTATGGCGTGGTCTTTTCGACGCCGCGCAAGCCGACCAAGGCAAAGTGCAGAGCCCATACATGGCGTGGGGCGGAGACGGGCAGCGCATCGAGAACGTGCGCTGGTGCCCATACGAAGATATTCTTGGCGTAGGACACGACCAAGGATTCGCCAGCGTCCTCGTCCCCGGCGCCGGTGAGCCAAACTTCGACTCGCTCGAAGCCAACCCTTACGAGAACGTGCGACAGCGCCAGGAGCAGGAGGTCCACGCGCTGCTCACCAAGCTGCAGCCGGATATGATCTCGCTCGATCCCAACATCATTGGAAAGCTCGATACCGTCAACGACAAGAAGTATCAGGAGCAGCGCAACCCGGACCACAAGCCCGAAGATCACATGGAGAAGATCAAGAACCGGGGTCGTGGCCGCAACAGTGCTCTACGCAAGTACCTCCGCAAGAAGGGGGGCAAGAACGTCATCGACGAGAAGCGCGTCAAGGCCGAGACGTTGCGCAAGGAGTATGCTGCTCGCACAAAGGACAAGCTCAAGCAAGAGCGTCAGGATCTTGGGCCGGCTCTGTCCCGGTTCGCCAAATAAGATCACTGAGTTTGTTTCTTGCTTGTGTGACATCTTGTGGAGCAGTAGAGGAACATCCCCCTCTGCCCAAAACCACCCAGATACCCAGCCCACACGCGGCTTCTGTGACATATTGGAGATTTGGCGACAGCTGCATTCCAGGCGTTCTCGGGGAATATGTTTGTATTCGGACGGAAAAAGCAGTTAAATGTGTGTACCATCTATTTTCAACACATTGAATATATTGAACTTCATAACTATTTTAAACTTCCAATTCCACTTCGTATTCCCCGTTTCAAGTTTTCAAGGCTATATATCCAAAATCACAAGTTACCGGACCTAAACCTACCAGTCTAAATAGAACATCTACTCATCAAGACTCCCAGACCCCCTAACAGCCCCATCCTTCCACCTCTGCAAACTAACCTCATAAGCTCCACTGCCCTTCCAAGCACTAATAATCAAATTAACAATATGATCCATCCCCTTCCCATGCTTAACGACCGCAAACACCGTCGGTCCCCCTCCCTCATCTTCGCCGCATCTCTCTCCATGACAGCAAGATCTGCTCCAACAGCTTCAGCAAGATCAATCTTGTTCACAACAAGCAGATCAGACCCCGTGATTCCCGGTCCACCCTTACGAGGCACCTTATCACCACCCGCAACGTCAATCACGTAGATGATGAAATCCGCCAGCTCGCGCGAGTAGTTCGCAGCCAGGTTGTCACCCCCGGACTCGATCAGCAACAGGTCCGTCGTGAACTGCTTCTGTAGTTTCTGCAGCGCGAGCAGGTTCGCGCTGATGTCTTCGCGCACCGCGGCGTGCGGGCACCCGCCTGTTTCGATGGCGCGGATGCGTGACGGCGCCAGGGCTTTGTGGCGGGTTAGGAATTCGGCGTCTTCTCTGTTTTTTGGGGTAGGGTGGTTAATGTTGGTGAGGCATGGTAGGTATGAGTCTTGTTGTTTCAGGTGTGGGTGTGGGGTTGGTAGGTGGGGTTAGGGTATTCTCTCGTACCTTGTGAAGATATCGTTCGTCACTGCGGCGATATTATACTCGTCTCGAAGGGCGCGAGATAGCGCTAGCATCAGGGCTGTCTTGCCGGATCCTACGGGTCTATTTAGATCCAAGACTCACGTGTTAGTCACTGGCTATGCATATAGATGTGGTGATTTGCATGGATACGCATTGGCATAAAGCGGGCGAAATAGAGGTTGATTGCAGGATAGGGAATGGCAACATACCCACCGATACCAATAGTGAAGGCACGATCCTTCCAGTCTCGGCCTTCGATCAGGGGCATCTCGCGGTTGACGTAGGAGCCTGGGCCATCGAGGATATCGTGTGCATGGCCGTGGCCGTTGAAGGGGTCATCGTGGGAGTGGTCAATGCCGGCGTCGTGGGAGTGAGAGTGTGCCATTGTTAAGCTTCCAAGGTTGATAGATGTTAATACCAAGTCAGTTCAGGATTGTTTGGAGAAAAGCCAAGATGAGGGGCAGTTCTATCCTTTGGAAGGGTGTGGGGAACTGATATGATAAAATGCCGAGCCTTCGATATCATCGATTCGCCGATGCCGGGGTTTGCCAAGTTCGCCGCTCGGTTTGTATTTCAATAGAGGGATACTCTTCTGTAAATTTCCATTTGGGGATTTATGCTTGTTGGAATATTTAAGAAATATGCAAAGATGTCCGCGAGGGAGACATTTCAACAAGTAATGATGGAGGACTGACTGCATAAATAGAGCCCATACTTCAATATACCTTCAAGTATACAAACTACGATGCATCAATGAAGATTGAAAAGCATGTATTTATGGATTCGTCAAGCAGCGGCAGAGAGAGTATAAGCCCCGAGGGGGAAGAGATGTCAAGCCAAATGGACCATAGAACACCCCTATGCACGCAGACGTAGTTCCCAATGAAACGTAAGAGCCGGACGCCTATCATTCGCCAAACACGGATATCAATAGTTCTGCCTGTTCACAAGAAGAAGAAAATGAACAGACTGCCAAGGAAAAAGCGAGTAATGGGCAAAAGTCGTTAAATCCCAGACATTGATGGCAAAAGGATGAAAATGAAACCCGAACAGTAAAGAGATAGAAAACATGCAAGGCCAGGAAATAATCCCGAGCCAACAAGGAAACGCTGAAAGGAAGATAGAGTACATTAGGTCGGAGTTGAGCAGGATCGATGAGGCCTGACGCTACTTCCAAGCGAAGGAAGATGGGAGGGGCCTCAAGCACTGATTAAATCCCGTCGATTGTGAATTGAGTCGTCATGTGCCAAAAAGCAAGATAGATCTTTCAGGTAGATGAAAGACCTAGATGAGGAGTAAACAAACAAGAGCGGGCGCATGTCGCCCAGGTATCCAGTCGTACGCCGGTCCCGTACCGCCTGAGACGGCGAGGAAAATGAACGCAAGGGAAAGCAAAGCAAACTCCCAACATGATTAGGCGGCGGCACCCTTTTGTCGCTTCGGCACCCGAGGGCTAGCCTTTACTTTCGCTGAGCCCTGCTGCGGAGCACCGTTAGCTTCGACTCCACCACCGTCCTCGGATTCCATTTTGACGGTGCTCGCCCGGCGGCGTTTGTTGCCACCTACATTTGGACTGTTGTTCACGCCGGCTGGGGACGGATGCATTGGTGGTTGCATTCCGGGGGGACCGGCAAGGTTGCTTTGGGCTGGGCTCGGATGTGCTGAACCAGTCAGATGAGGCGAGCCTTGCTGCCCGGGGAGACCAAGATGAGCCATGGCAGGCGAGGCGAACTGTGATGGAGCGCCCATGCTATGTCCCCGAACATTTTGCATGGGTTGCATGCCTGGGTTCATACCGGGATTCATACCGGGATTCATGCCTGGGTGCATCGCGTGATTCATGCCCGGACTCATGCCCGGGTGCATCGCGTGATTTATGCCCGGACTCATGCCTGGGTGCATCGCCGGATTCATGCCTGGGTTCATGCCTGGATTCATACCCGGACTCATACCCGGATTCATGCCTGGATTCATGCCTGGATTCATGCCTGGATTCATACCCGGATTCATGTTCTGGTTCATGCCCTGGTTCATGCCCGGATTCATGCCTGGATTCATTCCTGGATTCATGCCTGGGTTCATGCCTGGATTCATGCCTGGATTCATGCCTGGATTCATGCCTGGGTTCATGCCCTGGTTCATGGGCATGGGAGTCGATACAAAGCCGGGATTGGGATTTTGTGATTGGAGGGTGCTGACAAGATTCCGTAAAGCGTCAGGAGGTGATAACTGCGGATTTGCCTGAGAAAACTGGAACAACATTTGCATCGCAGAAATGGTTTCAGCTACTTCCATGAATCCCATGACTGGAGTAGGCACGCCGTTGGCAGTCACTTTTGAATCTGGCACCAATGACGGCGTTTGCTTAGGCTGGGCACGTTTTGAGTTCTTTGTGACCTTCGGACTTTGCTTTTGGGAATCCGCCTCCATGGCCAACAACAACGACCGTGGAATGAACTCGTTGTGGCTGACGACATTAACATCGAGCATCTCAAGCTTGTTGTGCATATCGAAGTGCGCGCGCAGCGTGCCGTTGGTGAAAAGCTAAAGCGATAGATATTAGCAAGCTGAAAAGACAATGACCATGCGACAGGAGATGTACCTGGCACTCATTCTTGAACCAATAAATGAATGAACATTTTGGAGCTTCAACGTAATGCCCTCCATTGTGAGATTCCCGCTCGCGAGCACCTTCCACCACCATCTGAATTTGACTAATTCCGCTAGTGAATTGGGTCAAATAATAACGTGCCAGTGCGGGTGTCGCAATTTCGAATTGTTTAGATCCAATCGTGTTGTTCCAAACACCCTGCCTCAAGACACCTACAGGGGAGTAGAACCGCTCGACAAACGATTGCCAATATAGAAGATCCTGTGCTTCATTGCGGGATTGGAAGTTTCCCAAATGTTCGGCATAGGCATGAATGGTCAATATTGCGTTATTCTTCCTTTGCTGCTGCTGTTGTTGTTGCTGCATCATAAGAGCATTCTGGTGCTGCTGTGCCTTCATCTGAGCCTCCTGGGCCATCATCTGCTGATTCTGAGGACCCGGCTGATGGCCCTGGGAACTCTGAGAAGGCTGCGGCTGTGGCTGCGGGCCAGCCTGGCCCTGTTGACCCGGCTGTTGAGATTGTGGCAATTGCTGCGGTGGGGGATTAGGAGTTCCCTGGCCTTGGGGCAATCCCTGCGATTGTGGTGGTTGAGTGGATGGCGGCTGAGAAATTTGAGAGGGTTGCGGTGTGCCGCCTCCTTGCCCGCCATGCTGCGACTGTGGGGTGGCACTCTGTTCGTGCATATTCGGAGGTTGTGCTGATGTACGCTGCGGGGTATGCTGGCCTGACGGTCCATTATTTGCCTGTTGTTGAGCATATTGAGCCTGCTGAGCCTGCTGCGCCTGCTGTTGAGCCTGCTGCTGCGCCTGCTGCTGCGCCTGCTGGATAGCGAAAAATTGCTGCTGCTGTTGGAGACTTGGCGGCTGGCCATGTGGCATTTGCTGCTGAAGGTGCATCATATTAACGGGTCGCATTCCAGGGTTCGCTTGCATTGCAGCCATTTGCGCAGCATTAAGTCCTTGAGTACCATTAGGCATTGATACGGGAAGACCCTGTTGGTGTTGGTGTTGTTGTTGTTGCTGCTGTTGCTGCTGGTGCTGTTGTTGTTGCTGCTGCTGGTGCTGCTGTTGCTGGTGTTGCTGGTGCTGCTGCTGTTGCTGCTGCTGTTGTTGCTGCTGGTGCTGGAGCATCATTCGTTGCCGCATTAATTGTTGCTGTTGCTGTTGCTGGTGCTGATGTAATAAATGGGGATTATTCGCAACTATGCATGATCAGGACGTAAGTATGCGATCGAGAAAGACGGCTGGAAGAGACGCGGGTGTAGCGGGGGGAAGAAATCACCGCAGAGGGCAGGGACCGCGTGTTCCGTAACATTACATCTCGCACCCCATGCGTTAAGCAAATAGAAGATTGAATACTAACAATTTTGTTGGAATTGGGGGTTCTGAAGCATATGCGCCTGCGCGGGATTCAGGTGGGAGAGGGCATGAGCATTTGGGCCGGGGCCACCAGGACCAACTGCCCCAGCGCCCGGGGGCATGCCGCCCATCATCGGGCCCGCTTGGCTGACTTGAGGTCCTCCCGGCGCAGAGACGCCAGGATGCATTTGCTGTACCATTCCAGCGCCCGGGTGTCCATTTGGATGTTGCGCGGCCATTGGGTGACCGGGGGGAAACCCATGTTGCGGCATGCCTTGGTGGGCAGGAAACGGCTGCGTCATCATCATTGCTGAGCGACGAAGTCACCACAAATGGGGGACTTCAAAATGATCGCTCGCGATGGCGAAAATGTGGTGGGTGAAACGTGGCGTGGAGCGCGACTGGAGTGGGAAGACAACAAGGCCGCTTTTAGCGTTCGGGGATGGACCAAGACGTAGCGAGCGACTTGAACCGGTATTCAGCAGACGCGAGGTGCTGAAGTATCGATCGGGGCCAAGTCACTCACCCGCGCAATGAATCTGTTTTCCTTCTGAAACAAGTGAGCGGTCAGTGGGGAGTGATAAGAGAAGATGTCGGGGATGAAGGTTAAAAGCGACGGGGGCTAGGGGAGGCGTGGAGGGGCTGGGCTCTCCGAATAGTCAGAATATCTCAAAGAGGCACAACTCACAAGTGTTTTTGCTAAGGGATCTGGATATTAGGGGGCTAAAGGTGTTGCGAACGCCCAGGTTGGGAATTAAGGATGATCGCCCGGTGGGAGAGAGAGAACTGGAGACGGAGGATCCGGGTCCGTATGGTGGAGGATCTAACCGAGACGACAGCGCGATTAATCCAGAGAGAAACAGTGATAGAGGGAAAATAAGGGACTATAATGAGATCAGGAAATTGTATAGATCTTAAAGTATAAGCTCCATCTTTCAATCTTCATTTTTCCCTTTTTGAGGCTTTTTTCTTCTCCCTCCCCTGCTCTGAGTCCAATCACACGCTATCCCGAATGGGGATGGGTCACGTGGTGTCTTCGCGGCTTTTTCTTCACAACTTTTTTTTTTTCTCTTCTCTTCTTCTTCATCTTCTCCTTTGTCTTTCCTTCTTCTTTCCAATGCCATCTTTGAGGCATACAATCACTACTGTGAATTCCTATTGGCTTTGTGGTTCTCTACCTCAGGTTTCTGGAGCTCTCTTAATGTTGATTGCGCCTGACTCATGAGGATAGCATGATCCAATGCCAACAGTATCTTACGATACCTCAATCTCACCACTAACCTGATAGATCAGGTGTTAGCACCTTGTGCTTAACGTGAGTTTACATCCTTTCTCGTTCTTCCTGCATTTGCATTTCCTATCCGTTCAAGGATGACAAAACACTTTACTTCTTAACCCTCCAATTCGACAATGCGGAGATAATCCGGACCTCCCTTCCCGGTTGGTCTGCTACTTGCCAGTATATCTTGTCTGAGAACTCTTATTTTGCAATGCATCTTTATCATGTCTTGTTTTGAGCAATTAACTAATATTGTTCTCAGTCTAGATCGAAACATGAACCACGATGCATAGAAGGATATCGCCTGTTGTAATGGCGAATTGATCAAGTGACGAAAAATTTCTCGGATGTAAACTCACAGACCTGTTCTGAATGCGCAAAACCGTGTAGAGATTTCCGTTGCCTTCCTTCTGATGATCAATTCGCTATTACACCTGTGTGTTGTCTGGATATATAGTTGTGGAATACCCGAATGAAACTTTATTTTGACTTGAAGAATGTCTGTCTTGTAGTTTATAATAAGTTCACACCCAATCCTGAATGAACATGTACAAGTGTTATACCATACTATCAACTCAGTACTCCGTAAGCCATAACAATCGGGTGAAGATTCCTTCCGTTGTAGGGTTCTGCGAGGCCTCGGTTCTCCAAACCCTAGCAGGATACTCTCTTTTACGGGTCAAATATTACAGTAAATGTTGCGGGCGACAACCTGAAAGCTTAGACTGGCAAACCTAAAGTTTTGCGTTAACTAACTAGCTAATGGCCTAGATCTTACTTAGGTGTATAAGGAATGCTTCGCCGATCAACTAGGCCATGCAGATCGCAGCTCGCAGCTCGAATGTGTCAAGAAGCGTTTGTATAGACATTATATCTGTGACAATCTGAGGGTACGACTTTGCACTTATAGAGGAAGTCGCTCCTTCCTCGAACCTAAGCGAGAAATCACCATTTGCATGGTTTGCTGAAAGAGCCCGCAGAAAATGAAGGAGCAGAACTCGTAGACAGTTTCCCTTTCCCTTTCCCTCTCTGTACTTAGTATTGTGATGAAAAAGCACTCATTCTTTTGAATCGAACTGGCACGTAACAATATCTGTCACTTCTCTTCTCGCTCCTTGAAATCCCCTGTTCGTAGGCTATGACCTTGTACTTAAGGGCATATAGTGACTGCTCGACCAAGGCGTTCATTCAAACAAACTTATAGCTCAGTCTTCTCCCCTGGTGCTACCGTTCCCGGAGGACCGAGTTATCTGCACCCTGGTCACTCATAGACCATGGTTACATCGAGAGATTGGCGGCTCACTGCATCGTCGTTCAAGAACAGATCTTATAGCTCCTCAATCGTGATATCTGGTCGATCAGACTGACGATGCATATAGAACCTGAAATCGATAGGAGAGGGTACTTCCCTAGGATAGTATTGTTAGGGCAGGATAGGGCGCTACTATCTGCAGGAGGAATAGAAACCATTGGGAAACGGCCTATCGTCGTACGCGGAAGTCTTGAATAAATTGGCAACGTATGCCTGGATGCTCATTGGTATCTGCGGGCTGGAGCAAGACGATATGACGAGGGCCAGAATAAATGTTGCCAGTGAAATCACATCGGCTCGCTTGGTTCTGGCGCTTTCTAGGTTTTAGGGAGACACACCCGGGGCATTACAACACTGGCCATGTAATATCGCCCTGGGCTTATCCCTCAGCATTGATAGCGCTTGTTTTTCCTTCCGCGAGAATGTCGGGGGTTACGGAGTCAAGGATAATGAAACAATATAGATGTTTTCAATATCGATTGGTTGGCCAGAGGAAGAAAGAGACAAAGTAACTATGATAGGGGTTTGAACCTTCAATAAGTTTGTTAGAAATCCCGAATCCTGGCTTAGCCGCGTATGTGAGATCGAGCCGTACTCACAAAGGTTGCAAAATCATGTTGAGATATACATGAAATGTTTGAGGCTGTTCAGAGGTGAATGAGAGGTTATATAGTTTGACGTAGAGTGGTCTATACATAGAATATCGGGCATATGTCCTCATACCTCTATGGAAACAAGAAGTGATCAACAGAGCCAAGATAATTGCTGATGATGATCTAAATACTGCTATAATTTCTCTAAATAGCTTCATGGAGACAAAGGGACAAAGGCCTGAAAAGCAGGAATATTTCAAATGGGCAAAGTGAGATCTTACAGACTGCATGCCAGCAAGCAATACCTCAATGCATCAACATGTCAAAATGTCAATGTCATTTGATCTCTAGCTGTTGTGGTCAAGAAACCGAAGACTGATCATAAGTACCTTTTGTATGGGCTTCCCATACAAAAGGTACTTTTTCCATTAGTCGCGGTGGGGAACGCGCGGAGCGGGTATGAACCTTCAGTGATCCTCGACTGAAGAATCGTATGCCCGCGGATTGAAGACGTGCGCGTAATTTGAAATTTGAGCTCATAGTTCTTTTTGTATATGTCACTATACGTACCGGATATTCCCTGGCGGGTGGGGCTTTCCTATTTGAGCTGCCGCCGCTTTTGTGAGGGTGCTGGAGTCATCAAGTCAGCCCGACCAACAGGGGTTTCTTTGTTCCTGTCTCCCCGCTTGCCCGACTCGGGCTTATCCCGATGATCTTTTTGGCGATTCGTTTCGGCTGCTATCCTATTCCGGAAAAAAGACGAAACCACATTTTCAGCTCCCTTCTTCTTTGTTAAATAACGATGATGGTCATATGGTGGATTTAAGCCCAATATAGCAGTCGGCTGATGGAGTTAATCCCTAATTGGACGGTTATAGTACTGAATGTAGATCTGAACATATCCTTGCCCGATAAACGGTCTTAAGCAAAATCCGAAATAAAGTCCGAGGTTCGAACAGTCTTTCAGCTCTGGACCTATGTTCCAAGTCGTGCCAGTGCAAGTCACCCCATTACCACGCTCTCCCCCGCACCCTATATAATGCCCCACCAGATATACACCTTCTCCCCAGCATCCACTTGCAAAGTCAATCTACCAGCTATCCTCCATCATCACAATCACCATAATGGCCAATCCGCTCATTAGTAATCACCTTGGCAAGAACGGCAAGTACACTCAGGCCTTCTTGGAGCAGAATGGGCCGGGAGACGCTCGACCTACAGCTCTTGACATTCTCAAGGACAACGACCGGATCGATAGCATGAAGGACAAGGTGGGCATTGCTGCTGCTGAAAACCAGAACTGGAATTGACCATAACCAGGTCTTTCTTCTCACCGGGTCCTCTGGAGGAATTGGCATTGAAACTGGTCGTGCGCTCGCCGCAACTGGTGGTAAAGTGTATCTTGGCGTTCGTGATTTGGAGAAGGGAAAGCAAGCTCTGGAAGAGATACTTGAACCCGGTCGTGTGGAGCTGCTTGAGCTAGACATTGGCTCAATGGAAAGCGTCCGCACCGCGGCCAAGACCTTTCTGTCCAAGTCAACCCAGCTCAATGTCTTGGTCAACAATGCGGGGATCATGGCATGCCCAGAGGCGAAGACAGTGGATGGCTTCGAGTCGCAGCTTGCAATCAACTATCTCGGCCACTTCCTTCTCTACAAGCTACTCGAGCAGACGCTCTTGTCCAGTTCCACACCTGAGTTCCAATCCCGCGTCGTCAACGTCTCTTCCGCCGGCCATCACATGAGCTCTGTTGTGCTCGACAACATTAACCTTAAGGGTGAGTACGAGGAGTGGAAGGCATATGGCAATGCCAAGACAGCTTGTATTTGGATGACGAACGAGATCGAGCACCGATACGGTTCAAAGGGTCTGCACGGCCTCTCGTTGATGCCTGGTGGTATTGCGACAGGCCTACAGCGCCACGTCGACCCGGAAACGTTAAAGCAGTGGGGTTCAAGTGAGCCTGCGCAAAAGTATGGCAAGAGCTCAGCTCAGGGCGCTGCCACAACCATAACGGCTGCACTTGGTAAGGAATGGGAAGGCAAGGGTGGTGTCTATCTAGAGGATTGCCAGGAAGCTGGCCCGGTCCCCGAGGGTGGTACACTGGCGGTCGGTGTTGCGCCA